CAATGGTTATCAGGTGGACGTGGTGGAGATGCCAAGCATGGTCGGTGCCCAGGGTATCGAGCCAGGGACTGTTGGCTTCTCGCATTTCCTCGAGCTACCAAGGTCTGACACACTGGCCAGTGAGCTGGACCAGTCTCAGTCAAGTCAAGACTCCGCTGAGTCGGCCAGGAACAAGGAAGTCATGCAGGCAACTCCTGAGCGACTGGGTATCCGGCCGGTGGACTTGAACTTGATATACGACCGCTTGGCTGACTTCCAGGACATGTACGAGGCATTTCAAGACAGCCCCGAGCCCATGACAATCCTCAACAACCAAAGCTCTGGAGATCTATACGCGAATTTATTCACCAAGTTCCTTACCCCTCCGGGCTACGACGACTCTACCGCCGACCCTACAGGCTTGCAGACACAAATCGTGGCCCTACTCAGGGTATTGGGACTGAAGGGTGTCTGGTATGACTTCAGCCTTGTCGAATGGAGGATAAGGCTGGGCCAGATACTGTGGAGTGAACCCGAGCCAGCCTCCGAGCACGAGCACCAAACTCTATGGACAGAGCGGGAGATGCTATTACTACAGATCACCTTGGCCTGTGAGTTGCTGCTTCGATTGGATGCCTTCACGAATGCAGATGCGACCGACGCTGAGATCCGACTTCGGATTGACGCAAAGGATATCGAAGGATTTCTCAAGATCAAATCGAGAAAGATTGACTGGGATTTGGTGCTCGCACGGAGATTTCTTGACAACGTCGTCATTATGCGAGGCAACGATGCGCCAGTCTCACCCAAACCCAAACTACGTGGACTACTGTCATTGCTAAGCCAAGGCGCTCACGCCCAAATACCGCAGTCGGACCTCATCATACTCCCACAGCATCAATCCAGACAGCTCTCTGGGCTTCTTCACTTTGCGAAGACACTGCAATGGCCTAGCCTTGACGTGGTCTCGGCGGATTTAGCTCGGAAGCTTGGAGAGCAACACAAGATCGAGGAACCCACACCAGCGTCACCCAGCGGAAGGTTGCTCGACATGGCCACCCCTTCCGGCATCAGTGTATACGGCACGCCACTGCAAACACCCCTCGCTTCCGGTCAACAGCTGGACAGCTACTTCGGCCACATCGGGAAGCCCGCTCTGAATCGCAACAACTCTCGTGCCTTACGCATGCCACTTTCTCCCGTGTCGACCATCTCGGAAAACGATGCCACGTCCAGCTACAATATCGGAGGGTGGCTGAGTCGGTCTTATCTGACTGGTCTTGTGCTCCCCGGAGAGGCTATCTCACACTTCCTCGTGTCGACCATGCTCGAGAATGACAGCAACGCTATTGCCAACCTGGGAGAATCAGCAAATTTGTACGGCGGATTCACCTTTGGCGACAGAACCTTTTGGAGCAAAGCTTCTGTTGTTGGACGTATTCTGGCGTGTGCCAAAGGCTCCACAGAGTGTATGGGCTGGATCTCATGTCCAAAGCTGCCCGACAGCCCTGCCGACCGTTGGTACTCGATCCACAGCGAACTGCTTCCGCACGAGAACCGGTTACGACCAAGAGACGGTTCTGACACAGTTGCCGAAGAGTCAGCTATCGCACCAGCCGATTCTCTAGCTTCATTGAGGTCCGAGGACTTTGTTCTTCCTCAGGATCCTGATTCGTACCTGGGTCCCTCCTTGGTTTTCTCGCAGTGGGAACTAGTGCCAATCAACACGGACCTCATCGACGGCGACAGCTTGACAGGGCCGCCAACCGAAAGCGACATTCACGCCCCATCTATGACATTCGTCTCCAGAGGAGACGCAGTGAGCCATACCATCACTCTAACATACGATGTTCAATTTGTTACCTCTTTCCCTTGCACTACCGCAGCCTCTGCGCCTCCCTCATTCACGCATCGCCCCAAGGTTTTGAGGCGCTCTGGTACCGGAACCATCTCGAGGTCTTCTTCAAAACACAGCGTAACTCTATCACGCCGCAACAGCCACGGATTTGAGCCGCTCCTATCACATCCCCCGGACGCCGCAGACATTGCGCCAAAGCGGATGTACGAAGCATCTACCGGACCAGAAGTCGAGACACTCGCGACTAGCAGCAAGCCCATGAACGCGCATCCTCTACACCAGTCGTACTCCTACAAGATCGTGCCAGTCACCGATGTTCTGGATCCTGACTTCTTACTGCCGTTCGAGCTTCACACGTCCAAGTCTACAGAGCGCCTACTTGATCTGTCGCGGAGCAACGACAGCGAGACAGCGGAGACAATCAAGAATAACAAGAAGGCTGTGTTGGTACTAGATGCCAGGGCTTCGTCTGATCTTCAGCTGCTCGCACGAGCCTGGTGTGCGGAAAAGGGCCTTCATGCGATCGTGAGTCGTGTGGGGAGGACTTGCTTGGGATGCTCCATTCGCGAGGCCAGAGGTTTAGGCATCCACATTGTGATCAGAGTATAGGCTGCCGCGTGACTACTTGGTCACTTACGCCAGCACTGGAGTTTTTGCTACATTTCTCAAATTGTCACATTGTCCTCGGGGCAGGGAGTTGGGGGTTTAGTTTTGCTACAGGCCATTATTGCGGGCGCGCATACAAGATACCCACATTGTGAATGAATACTACTGTTACTGTCCATTGCCACGTTCGTTACTTGTTTGAGAATCGCGTGAGACGAAAATAACATGTACCCACTATCTACGCGCGTTTGCAACCAGCCACAGCATTCACTCCTAGACCGCATATCTCGTGTTTCGATGACAACTGTGCGATTGCAGAGGCTGTGTTTGCATACCCTGACTTCACTTAGCAAGATCGGCGGCGCCCACAGCCACGTGCTGCTAGCCGAGGGGGGCGGGCTGTGTGTGTGGGTGGCCTGGCGTGCCTGATCTCACGCGAAGCGCGTTTGAACTTTCGCGGATCGAAAATCAAAAACTTCGAACACCGCTCACCAAGGCTCTTGTCACGTTAGAATCTCTATCTACGACGTGTCAATTATTACCATCTTACTTTTTCTCTACTGTCGAACAAGATACATCATCGACCCTGACTTATAAGCTCACCTGGTCTCTTCTTACATCATCCTTCCTTCCTCCTTCGTTCAACATCGACCCTTCTACCACCAAACTCATCCAGCAGTCGCCACTCTCCCCCCGCATCCAAGATGAATTACGCCCCAGTGAACCCCGAGACAGAGGAGTTTACACCCGCGCACGACGAGCCGAAAGATTGCTGCACACGATGTATACAGCGGATCGATTGCACGCTGGCAGGCCCCTGGTGCATCGAGTCAATTATTGCGTGTTTTGCGAGTATGTCAGGTTGTTTGGGCGATGCGTGTAGTAATTGTGGAGACTGCTGTGGTGAATGCTGTGCTGGGTGTTGCAAAGCGTTCACCTGACGCGGAAACATGGAAAGAGAGGAGAAAGAGGAGGACCCCTCAGACGTTTGCGGTATTTATCAATCAACAAGCCCGCTCTTGTTGGGGTAACAGCCTGGATGATTGGAGTCGTGAGTGGTTCGTTAGGGGTCTATGGGTCATCGCAGAACCAGAATATGGCGAACCGAAGTCTAATAGAGCGTATATGAAAGAGATGGATAACTGGGCAAAAGGGTGGGAGCGTGCCTGGGGAGTTTCGCACGCTGCTCGAACGCGATTACCTTGGATGCATGCCAACACGCCGACACAACAGAAAGCACTCGCCATTGCGACTCCCAGAGCGCGAAGCACGTGCAAAATGCCATGCTGATGGTCTTTGACCTTCAAAGTGGCATCTGCTGTACTCTTCCACCACAACTTTCCGCTCATCAGCCATCGCCTCCATCGCTACAGCACTATCACTATCATCTGTTGGCATCGGGGCCCATCGACAACGTCATCAAAGGTATGCAGAGAATGACCTGATTCTGGACTGTTCTAATGTGATGCAGCAGTCATTTCATCTCATCCTCACCACCAGCATCCAGTCATTAGAGGCAGCACTTGAAGTATTCGCGCTTTGCTTTTTCTTCGCAACAACATCTACAGCAGGTGCACCTACCTTTCCAGACACGTAGCAAACAGACTACGGGTTAATCGACATCCCGATCATGCCTGGGAACGCAGGTCGGCGAGCTCGCCACATGCACGGCTGTGGTAGATTCTACTTGGACCGTAGGATATGTCCTAATTGTGGAGCGACGGTATACCAGTTCTCCGGACACGCAGTTCAGACTTGTAGGACTTGTAAATACAACTTTATCTGGAGAAGTGAACCAGAAGTCGTACCAGCGAAACCTCCCCCTCCACGTCCTCTTGGTCAGTCTGACTTAACTTTTGACGTGCCGTATTGGGGCTGATTGAGAATAGGCCGCGGACTCGTACGCGTGTTGAGCGATATAGAGGATGGCGATGAATCAGATAATTCAGATGACGAAAGCCTGAGACCGAGAAACAGCATCACCACTGAGGAGGGGTCTTTCAGCAATCGTTCGAGCTCGAAGACCAAATCCAGAGACGACAGCGTCGTCAGTCTACTCAAAAACTGGGCACCATACACCTCCAAATCAGGCCGGGCAGACGATACACAACTGCCAGCAACTCCTCCAGTCAGCCTTGACTCGCTCAGCACAGTCCGCAATTCTCTTCTCTCTCCCTTCATCCCACCTCCACGATCCCGCATACACGTTCCAAGCAGATTCCGAAGGTACACCAACCGCGTCCGAAGGGAACCCGTGGCACCTAGTCCGTCCGTGGTGACCGCCGATGCTATCAAGAGAGTACCTCGTATGGTCATGGTCAGACAAGCCTTTTGTCTCAATTTCATGCTCGAGGCACTGGGACGCGATCCACCCAGACACGGAGGATCTCTCAGACACCCATCTCCTGTGATCGAGCCGCGTGATCCCGACGGTGTGGTTCTACAACACTGCGCTGATCTTCATCATGCTCTTTTGCCGCTTGAAGGGTGGGAGAGAGATGGAGTGGTCGAGGAATGTCGAGCTGCTGAAGAGCGAGATGTTGAACGAGACCTAGAGATGGAATTACTCAGCATCTTCAACCCCGACGCGCTGTTCGATTTCAGCGATGCCGATGAAGTTGCTCTCCTACAGCCCGAACAGTCCGGTGTCGATGGCAGCAATGAGGATGGGGAGGTTACGCGTTGCGGGGAGGAGAAATCTCTCCGCGATCGCATGCAGGAATTTTCTTGCTACACGTTCATGCGCAATCTGGGTGCTGGGCTGAAGAACAAGGTACGCAAGTGGAAGAGATAAGACAGGATGCAACAGCAGCTCTAGGCTGGACATGTGCGTTTGCGCGCTGGTGTCATTCAGTCTGTGGGAAACACTGTACTCTAGCATGGCGTTAGAAACCGCGGATGTCGACTCTGAGAAAGAGCATGCTCCTGACCTGACATGTCTATCGCTCAGTGGAGAGTCATGGTTAGCATGCAAGACAGACCATAGAGCTATAAAAAAAATCTGAACACGCGAAAGTTTCGAGTGCTGAAGGATTCTGATCGTTCTTTGTTTGCTACTTAAAGCAAAGGAATCATTGTCATGATAACACGATGGTGCATATGCTCCAACATGATCCCGTAGTAGATATACATCCAGCTCATTCAATCCTCCCGTCTGCCCGCACCCGACGCCTAGCTTTCCAGCCGGGGAATCCACTTTCCAACCTCTCAACCCTATCTTCACCCGTTCGTAATTTACTTCAGAGCCTTCTCAGCCTTCTTCTCCGCCTTCTCAGCAGTGTGCTTGACATCCAGCATCTCGCCCTTGGCCTGACCCTCGGTGTTCTCCAGACTCTTGTTGTACATGTAAATGCGACCGACCTGTGTGGCACCGACGCAGAAGACCAGGAAGTTGACACCAGCCAGCGCGACGTTCTTGGGGCGGATGACGAAGCACCAGCGCGTCCAGATGGCGCCTGTGCACATGAGAGCGAAGTTCTGGGTGAAGGAGAGGGATTCGGCGGGGCGGGAGAAGTCGGAGGCGCCGGCGAGGACCATGCCCCATTTCATTACTGGGGCCCTGTTGGGGTGTTAGCATTTGTGCGATGGCTTGAGTGTGGTGTGGTGGGTTTTGGAGGTGGGTGTTTGCTGCTGCGGCTGCGGATGCGCTTCGGAGAGTGCGGGGAGCTGGCAGCGCATTGCGGGCAAGGATGGAGGTGGTATGAAGGCAGCATACCAGAAGTGGACTGTCTTGGGGCCGATGGGGCTGTTCCAGAACTTCTGGAAGCCAGCGGGCTCAGCGCCCGCCGTGGAAGCATGTCGGCGGGCATTTGCGCGTTGGAAGAAGGGTCGGAAGGAGCTGAAGATGCGGGAGCCGGGGCGGAACGACATGATGGCGAGCTGTGTCCTGGACTCTCGAGGTCGGCGATTCGAGTGGGAGCAGGAATTGGGGCGTCGAGAGCGAGGTCGAGGCCTTGGCGAGTGTCGTGTGCGAGAGCCGTCGCGATGTTGGGCTCAAGCATGAGATGATAAATCCGGGACTATCGATGGGGGTGCTCCGACTGCTCTAGGCCCGTTTGGGTAAGGCGTGCGCCTGGCAGCTTGACGAACATTGAATGTCGGTGCCGGCCCAGTGACGACAGACACCGATTGCTACCCCCGCACACCAGTACCCGGTCCTTACCATGGCGTCAAAAGCATTCGCAAACGGGCTCAAGGAGCTGAGGTTCCTGTTCTGCCAGACCAGTGAGCACAGCGCCGCGACAAGGTATGCGACAACCGAGTGAAGGAGCGCAACCCAACGCGCACGCCATTGCACAAGAGCAGGATAGACAGGACAGGCCGGATAGAGCGAACCGCGCTGACCGACTGGATAGGAATTTCCTCATGCGAAGCTACCCCGCCATGAAGAAGGCCAACCCATCCATCCCCATTATGATCCGCGAAGCCAGCAACACCCAGCCCACCGTTTATGCGCGATTCGGTGCGTCACACTCACCACGGACATACGAGAGCACTGCTAACAATCTGGGGTAGACTTCGGAAAGGAGCGGAAGCTGTCACTGAAGGGCCTGGACGACAAGGCGATTGAACAACAAGTCACAGAGCTGGTACAGAAGGGCGCATGAATACATACTGGGAAGGAGGACGAGTGAAGAAGACAAGAGTCGTAGGTGAAGACGAATAGGCATACGAATAGCTCAAGAGAGCACAGCATAATAGCTCTGTATAGCCCGAATTGACCGTCTTCGAGAGTCCATTTCTCTTTCACCTCGACTTCTAATTCCCCATTCACCGTCCCCATCCCATCTTTTGCGTAGCATATAAACTGTCCAACCGCCTCCCATCTTCCTATTTCCTCAGCCGCCAGAACCTCTTTTGCAGACTACATCCTCTTCACACCTCACAAACATTCTGCAAAACATCACCAAGACGACTACATATACTAATATGTCGCACCAGACCAACCTCCCAGGCCACCATGACGGTGACATCGTCGCCACCGAGCTCGACATCTTCACGGCCAGCGACGTGAGTACATCCCGGCTCCTCTAAGATATTCAGATCAGCACTGACAAAGTTACTTGTATAGCACCCCGCTCTCGCCGCCGGCCCCGCCGCTGATGCGCTCAGGCGTATCGAGAAGCAGTACCAGCACCTCGTTGAGCTGCTGATGAAAGAGAAGTCGGCTGCGGCCGCCAAGATCATAGATCTTGAAGACACCCAGCGCGCCTTGTTTGAGACTCTCGGCAAGAAGATGGCGGACGAGGTGAAGGGGGTTTTCGTCCAAACCCACATTGTGCCCGACAAGAAGGTGGTTCTGCGGGTGGGAGAGGAGCTCTGGTCTGGCATCTTCAAAGATGTTTGAAGATGGGTTGGGTGGTTTGGTACTATTCTGATTCCCCGTCTTGTTTCCTCTTCCCCTTTCACGATTTTGTTTTTTGTGTTTTTCTTAGATAGATATTTCCCTTCTGGCATCAAATTCCATCGCGTGGTGTGCCGCATATCATGTCTTCTTGGTGTGTGTACAGTGGTGTCTTCGTGGTTTTGTGATTTGGACATTGTGAATGCAACATGTTCTACATGCTTCTATATAAAACTATACCTCAAAGTACCGCATACATCTCCCAGAGTAGCAGCAACAGGCTCAATCCCAGAGCCATTGTAGCCCTCCCAGTATCACTTGTCCGGCGTCTTGCATTGCCGAAATCCATCAACTCACACCACGCCCACCTGAGAACCTAGCATCATGTCCGCCTCAGTGGCATGTAAGCCTCAACAAGCCGGCTTCTTCAGCCGGTTTCGTCGCACCGACTCCGTCATGGGCTCACCGACAGGCTCTGCTACGCCTTCCCTGGCGCCCTCTCTCGCATCCTTGAGTCAGGACAACGATAGCCTAGCTGCGATGAACACTCGTCTACACAACCGCAACGAAGAGCTGATGCAGCAGTCTGAACTCAACCAATCACTCTTACAGGAGACCTCTGAAGCGTTAACAGCGAAGGAGAGCGAACTTGTGAAGCTGAAAGAGAGGTTTCACTCCAACGCTGAAGCTACCAATGAGACTATTCAGGTTCTCGGAGAGCAGCTCCAGACTCTAACCGAGCAGCTGGCAGAAGATCATAACAAATCTGCAGAGCGCGAGGCTCAACTATCTGATTCCGAAGAGCAGCAACACCAGCTCTCCTTGGAAGCCGCCCATGTGCAATCCCCGACCCGAGAAGACGTGGACGACTTGATCTGGGCTAAGCTTCAGGATAAGAATAAGACCATCGACTTCCTGCGTTGTCGCCAGGCCAAGTCTGATAAGCGCATCCAGAAGCTGCAGGAGCGTCTGGAGGTTGAGCAGAATCTGGGGAGGGACTGGGTTGAGACTATCATGATGGTTAATATGAAGGTTAGGGCGAGGGCGGAAGCGGGGGATGATGCTGATGCTGGGGTGTAGATGTAGGTGATACGGCTTAGTGGTATGGTGTGGTGATTGGCATGTAGTAGTCGGACTAGGCGATATTTACATAATGCACTGTACATTTTTCGCAGTGATTCAGATCTATTCTTCGTCCGAGTCTTCAGCTATCAGCTCTTCATCATTCGTGTTTCCCTCTCTACCTCCTCTCAACGCTAGCAGCTTCCATCAAAGCCCCGCTTGTTCATGCTGCAATGCCCGTAGCACACTTCACAGTAACACCCTCGACGTCAATCCGCTGCGCCTCCTGTTCACTTCCCAACAAGATGACTCCGACGTGTCACGTAAGGCGAAAGACGCCACCAATGTATCGCGTAGTCACATGATCCGTCATGTACTGCTGTTGGGTCAATCCTTGTTCCGTGCTGGACGCCACCAATAATGCTCCTCAGGCACATCATATACAAATGCTTGTGTCGCTGTTGAGTCGCTCGAAAACTACGATAGCGTGGTCGACTAGGTTGATGCCTGTTGGTGTTGGTGTTTCGTGGCACACGTAGTGGGCTGTCAGGCGCCTGTCTTTGTTGTGTCATCGCCCGCCTTTGGTCTCCGAGACTCCGAAACAGAATGTACCTGCATATATGGCTAATGCCGAGATGTATGTTGCCGCCGTCTTTGTGCTCATTCGGCTCTTTTGCCGAGTAGGTGCGCAGATGATCTGCATGCTGCAGGGCATTCCGAACGAAGTAAGAATTGACGACGGGTACTGTATCCATGGAAGATTATTTGCCTCGTTTGCCTTGTATGAATGGTCTCAATAACCTGGCCATGACGCGTGTGCCTTAGGTGGCAGTGTAACTGGATCGGTTGAGCTGGCTTGCTTGGTTAGAGTGCTAAGACCCTTGTTTGATGTGGGAATGTTTTGTGGCGAGATGCAATCGGAGGCCACTGATCTGTGTGTTCAGGGAAAGTGTCTCGAATTGCGATAGCGTCATGCGGTATCTTCAGTCCGCTCTTCCGTCATACCTACTGTCTGGCGCTTGGTCGTCGCGGCAGTCAAGCGAGAATACCGAAAGCATCCAACGTTACATCGGCCGAGCTGTACCTTGTTTGCGCAACGACCCAATACTCGACCCTGGCGGCGCATGCCTGGTCAGCATGATCACGGGATCATGGTAGCTCAGTTGCTCATGTAGACGCCCGCTGAGCATCGGACGGCTGCAGCTTACTAGCTTCCTTGGGTGGAGGACTGACATGGATGACGACGACTTGGAATGCAAGCCACAGACGGGACCTTGCGGTAGGATGTGATAAGTCGCATAATCGACGTACTGAACCAACTCTAGTTGCATTAGATGTGTCTGCAAATTCTATCATCGGTCTTCCAAGCATGGATCATGCGTTCTGTAGCACCTCTGCGCTGTAAGGCGGTTGGCTGCTCTGACAGCAGGCACTACAGTCTGTGGCTGCTATCTGACAGCCCGTGTATTCATGACTATAGTACTGTAGCCTATAACGACGTGCCTTAATTTCGAAAAGTTTATCAACATGCAAGCCACCTCGAGGGGAATACGAGTGTATGTCGTGCGCGCACGTTGATACTGGCCGCCCGGGTGACGCATGTGCGATGGTTTGAGCGCACAAGACCGGTGAACTCGATTGGGCCGTTTTGAAACGAAGTACAGTCGTTGATATCTGAGAGTTGGTGGACTGACTTCTTATCGCCAAAAGGACGGCTCAGTGTGATGCGAATGAAGGTCCATTGGAGTAAGGTCGATATGTATTACGGCAATAAGCTGGAAGCATTTAGGGTCTTAGTGCCGTGCTGGAGCGTCAGATATGAGTCCTCCGATTGGGCTTTTTGGTCCGAGATTGAATGCCGCTTGAGCCTGATTCTGAACATTGTTGAGCGATATGGCTAGTTTCGCACCTTGTACCTCGCAACGCCAACTCCAAAAACAGGCATTACGAAGCAAACCCAACCTTGAAATGCGAACATTAAGTTTCCGAAATGAGAACAACATATGTAAGATCTGTTGGAATGGCTGGTGAATGCAGAAACAAGACTGGAGGCCTGGTTGTGGTTCAACCGAGGAGGACCTCCCATTCCCACTCTTTCATGACGCTCAACCAATGCAAGCGGCTTTTGACTGTTACTCCCGAATTCTGGGAGTCTGTGGTACTAGACGGTATCGGCATCCCGTACGGTGTTTCTCGTGAACCGAAGTCGCGATCGGGGTCGTAATCATCGGGATAGGCGTCGTTCTCGCAAATAATGGATGCGTCTGATGAGAAGCTGTCGCTGCGCAGGTGCTCCATATTCATGGTTGTACGCTCAAGCGCATGATTGTCGCGTCGGTTCCAGACTTCCTTTGTGACTTCCAAACATCGCTCTATGATCCCCAACTTCATTCTGGTAGACATCATAGACCAGCGATCTTTGACCCATTCCCGTTCATCTGGCTCAGTCATCTCACAGCCAGCAGCCATCAGAGGGTAGATGTGCACGATGATCGAGCGTGAGCGTGGATGAACGGTGGCCAAGGCGCACAGTACTTTGTTTGCGAGCACGCCGGGTGGCTGGGAAGGAACCTCAGGTACGGCTTGGTGAAGATAGAGCAGTGTTGCGTATTGATAAGCGATCGCAGTCTTGATAGCATCTTGCGGACTTGTTGTCTCATCTTCTGGTTCTTCAATGTGAGAAGGCGGGGTCCATTCCTCGAGTTGAGATTTCAATTGCACTGCTTGCGATATGATGGTGGGTCCGTTGCTATCGGATCTCCGCACTTTCCTCACCAGATTGGCGACCCGACCAATGATCGGGAAGAGCGTGTGCGCGCAGCCCATCAACGGGTCAAGAGTAGAGTCGGTGTCTCCAGCAGCATATATGCTTTCTCTCACATTGTCGACATCGTATGCGTCGTCTTCGTCAGCGGAAGTAAGGCGAGCAAGAACGTCCATGTAAATCCAAGTGTTGCAAAGAAACTTCAGCCGAGCCCATTCTTCGCCTTGCTTTGGCATGAGACGATGGTTCATGAGTGCTTGATTGATCAAGATCTTAGCTCCTTTGATGTGGTTGATGCCGGTACTGATATGCTGGTCCCAAGATTCGGCAAAAGCCAGAACAAGTGTAGTCGATATAGCTGCGTCGACACGCATGTTTTGAAGTCCAGCAGCCAAAGCATGTACGGCGCTCCGCATATGATCTATACCCTGTATGCGCAAAGTAGGCATATCTCTTGCCTGATGGAAGGAGGTCATCGATGCGATGGCATGGTAGAGTGCGGGACAATCCCTCGTTAGAGGCCAGATGAGAGTTCGCCATGGGTTCTCTGTAGGTCCGTCCTTCAGTGATAGTACGCCGCACGTGTCCCTGTGATAACGCCGTGTGAGTGATTCCGCCGATGTCATAGATAAATGCAACTGGGCCGGGATCTTGAAGTCGGGAGAATTCGACGAAGAGCCTGATGAGCTTGGTGTCGCGGGCGATGGTAGCCACATCACGCAAGCTGCAGACTCATCAATTTTATCGCGTACAACTTCTTCATCGACATCGTCATCCAATGGCGCTGGCGGCGTCATACCAGAGGGCTGATAGAAAGCTTCATGCTGAGACACAAAGGAAGAGTACTCCTCCGGTGGCACATTTAGATCTGTTCCTGGGAGTAGGAGGTCTACTATTCGGGGAGATTGGCCTGACGAAAGGCTTGAGTCAGTATTCGTATTGGCCCGTGCAGTAGTCGTACTTTCGGCTCCAATAATGCCAAATGGCTCGAAAGAACCTGGCGCATATGACTCCACTGGTGATATTGACTGAGAGATGATGAATGGCGATGTTGTCGGGACAGTGAACAAGTTTCCCATAGGTGCCAAGGGAGGATGTGGAAAGGCAGCTTGTATGGGCGGACCATGCGTGAAAGGGTATGAGTGTTGGTGCGGCGAATAGTATACCCCAGGGTGGGGTGGGTTCCCGAAGGTGTAATGGTACTCCTGGAGACCGTACTGTCCATGGAATTGCGAAGAAGCAGCTGTTGGCGTTTGGAGGGTCGGGCCTAAGCCTGTCAGATGCGTCTCAGTATGGCTGTGTTAAGACTAACCTTGACGTGGATTGATGGGCGCTTTGCTCGTAGTGTTCAACTCGTCGTAGTGCTTCCATTTGTAATCTTTGGCGTAACCGCCGCATGTTATTGCACGTCTCTCGCATTGCTTGCATGAAGGATGTCTTTCGTCACATTTCAAGCGCTTTGCCTTGCAGGAAACGCATCCTATACAGAGGTCAATCTAGTCCCAGGTGAAAACAAGTCGAGTTACGCTTATCGTGTGAGCGATAAGAGTTGACGCAGGGGAAACTTACCATTACGGCTTTTGGACTGCTTCCTCTTGGTGACGCCAGAAGTATCGGAGGCTTTGGTTGTCTTCTTCTTCGCGGAACATGATGTAGATGACACCTGCTTAGCGGGCTTGACGTCGATCGTAGCAGTCTCGGATGATCTCAGCACGGATGAGGATGACGAAACAGTGATAGCCTCAGCCATCTGCCGCGGAAGGTGCGAGCGTTCGGTCGCTGGGCGAACTTGTCGGCGGCCCGAGATATCATATGCAAAACAACAATGGACTAGTTACGCAGAAGCGAGAAGAATCATCGGAGGTTTGGTAGATAAGCAGGAAGGCAGCGGTATCTAAAGTGGAGAAGAAGCTGGGGAGATGCACGCCTAGTCATTAGCGCCTTACCTATCGGGTTCGCGAATCACGCGTGGGGTCCGGTTCCAGCATCTTTCTTCACTCTGCACAATCGCGATTTTCTTCACCAAGGTCTTGTGCTCAGTGATATGCGGCGGTAGCTACTCGAGTCCAGTATATTGTGCGACGGCTGACAGTTGGTATTAGCCGTTGGCTGGGATCGTGGTGCAGGCCCCCTCATCGACGCTATCCGCATTCGGAACCCTTGCAGCCGGCCGTGAACCGCTCCACGAACGGCTCAGCCCTGTTTCGGGAGCGACGCAAAGCCGTGGGAGATCCCGTGGAGCATGTATCAGGAACATACTCGCTTTGGGAACTCTACGTCAGCGAGTCTAGACCAGGCCTACTTGGAGCTGGCCTCTTTTGGTTCCACTGCGCACAGAAGACACAAACAGTAGGAGGCTAAGCTTTTTCGTATCTCTATGTCGTCCTTCACAAGACGGAGATATGTCGTGTAGGTCTCAAGCGATATGTAGTGCCCCAGCGTCTTCACACTCCTCCGTCACCATCTGAGCCCACAGCCAGACTCTATTGATCTGGTGGCGAGGATTCTACCTCTCCTTTGTCCTCGATCTTGTACGTGACATCGTCGATGGTGACTTCCTTCTTGCCTTCTTTCATGGCTTTGATAAGACCAGGAGCTGTAGCAGCGACAGCAACCCCCGTAGCCGTGCCCGCAGCGATGCCGTTGACAAGTATAGCGCCAGCGCCTCCCGCTGCTGCGCTTTGGAGAACAGCAAACGTACTCCCAGCTGCAACACTCCCAATGCCGGCCTGTGCGCCGGCTGCGGTAGATCCTAGGAGACATGTCAGTCAATTACACAGCATATGGTTCCTGGTCGGCATTTGAGAGGTCTTACCAGCTGCAACACCCGCGGCCGTGAAGCCCACCATATGCAGAACACCATGTGCGGCCGCGATACCGAGAGGAGCAGCGACAACACAAGCGATGATACCTGCAGTCTCTCCTGGATGCTCTTCAACCCACTGCTTGGTGTGCTCTGCGGCGATACCGATCTGCTTCCCGGCCTCTTGACCAAAGGCGTCCACATGTTTCCACGCTTCCTCTAGGGCAGGTCCGATCTGTTCCGCTGCGTCGTGTCCGAATGCTTCAACATGTTCGTACGTCTCTTTGACGGTATCGTCGATCTGCTTTCCAGCTTCTTCCGCAGCACCACCGATGTGCTTGGCAGCTTCCTGACCAAAAGCGTCGAGATTTTCACCAGCGTCATTCGCGGCTCCGCCGATGTGCTTGCCGGCTTCCTGACCAAATCCATCAAGACCCTTACCCGCCTCATCCGCAGCACCACCGATATGCTTTCCCGCTTCTTGACCAAAGTTGTCCATTGCCTTCCAGGCGTCGTTGAAGAAAGACATGGTAATGGATTGATCGAAGAACTGGAAGTGTATGTGTTGTGCTGAGTTCAGTATCGAGAGGAAGTTCCTGCGAAAGCGTGAGATGAGTGGGGTCAATATGAAAAAAGTGAACGCGTGAAAGAGCATGAAACCGACGCGGGGCGGTATGGTGATGAGGCGAGTCTTTTGTTGTTTGTGCGACGCAAAGGGTCGGCTTGACAAGCGCTGGGATGAGGACGCATGCATGCAGTCGTGTGATTGGACGAACCGGACAGATAGGCGCATAATGACTCCCTTCCATACGTGAGACTATAAATCATAAAGTACAGCTACGATTACATCGACGAACTGTACATGTGACGTCATATAAGAGCCGCGCAATATGCAAACGCCAAAACAGTGAAGACGCCTAGAAAGCCAAACACTACAAAAGCCGAAAAGGGTATCTCCTCTCGTAGTCCTACAGTCAATAGTAGCTCAACCCCGAAGCCCTCACCTTCTTCTTCCCCTTCTTCTTCTTAGCCGGCGTAGGACTAACCACATTACTGCGCCCACCCAACCTCTCCTTCCTCTTCTCCTCGCCACCGTTCATACCCGCCATCTTACTCGCGCCGCCCGTCATGAAATCACCATAGGCGCTTTCAGCATACAGAGCAGGCGTCGTAGTGCCGCTGGGTAACCACTCGCTGCCCTCTTCCCATGCGATACCAGCGGCGTTCGCCGCGCGTACGCCTTCAATGTAGGCTTCCATCCTGCTTCGCTCATCGTCGTTTTCGAGGCCACAGCCGCATCCACAGCCGACTACGCATTCACCGTCGTCCATACCGATCTCGTCGTCCATGCACTCCATGTGTGCGACGTGTCCGCATGAAGGACAGAGGTGGAAAAGACCGGAGACGCGGATCCAGCAGATACTGCAACTGTAGACGGGATCCGTTTTGGTGGGCTTGGAGGATGTAGTAGTTATATTGGTGCGCGAGCGTCCGTCACGCCATGATGAACCGGCTGAGACGGTTGATGTGCCTCGTGAGAGGCTGGGTCGGCTCGCTCTGCTGGGTGGGGGTTGCAGTCGATTTTGTCCAGGCGACGTGTCTAGGCCGGCAACGCTCTCGTCTAACTCTTTCGTTGGGGTTGGGACGGGTATTGAAAGTTGGAGATACTGCTCTGTTGGGATGAGTGTGTTGAAAGATGGCAGACCCTCTTCGGATATACCGCCAGATATCGTTCCAGGTTGAAACTCCATTGCTTCGGGGTTGAAGGAGAAGTGATGAGGTGATGCGCCCGGTGTGCGCTTCATCTGCGATGTGGTGGGTGTTGGAGGAACCAGAGTTGATGAAGCTCGAGATAGATGTCTTGATGTCTTTTCATCGCCGCTTTCGTCGGCGGATGTCTTTAGTGCGAGCGATACTGAGCCATGTTTGAGGCCGGTACGAGGAGCTTCAGCTGGGAAGTATGACACAAGGCCATTGAACTTTAGTACTTCGGCCCGTATGCTGATCAAACCCCAGCGGCTCAGCATCTCAGCATACTGCTCGCGCCAAGCCCGATGTAACCAGTCTTTACTTGTGTCTAGTAGTGGCCTACTGAAACATGCCTCATCATCGAACTGATCTTGATTCTTGAGCGTGACCTTGATGCCTCCTCTGTTACTGACACCATCTCTAGGTTTGTCAGGCGGGCCACTTTCTTTTGAGTTCGCTAGTCTGTCGCCACCGTCATCCTCGACTCTCTCGTAGTCAGAATCTGAATCCTCTATGTAGTTGACATTGACTTGCTCTGACTGTCCGAAGCTTGCTCGCTTGCCGTGCTTTGAGCGTGAGGTTGAGAGATTGTTTTGATCATGGGAGTCGCTTCCATAGAATGTGGTTGTGCCCCAAGTAACACCACTGGTGGGTGCTGAAGTTGAGAGATCGTCCATGCGTGACCTCACTGGAGGTGAAGAGGACATTGCGTTTGCAAAAGGACGCGACAATGCGGCAACAGCACTTGCGAAATTTGCAGCGGAGCTTTTTTTATGCGCCGTGTGACTTTGCTCTGGCGATGTTCCGTATGGTGTGTGATTAGCCGTCTGCGCACTCCTCATTGTAGACGCCCTGGACAAGGCGGGAGGCGTGTTACCAGTAGAGTATGGCGTAACAGATTCGGAGCTGACATGGTCGCTACCCCACGGGCCATTTGAGCTTCCATGACTGCCGTACGTATCGAAATTCTTGGCCAGTCTTTGCCAAGCAAACTCGTTGGCCGGCGTTGCAAAACGCGATTGCGATGGCGTAGATGGAACAGAAATTGTGGGCTGGAACAAACTCCACGCAGCATCCACTGAAGAGAAGTAGTCCAATGAAAACGCTGGTGCTTCCATGGACATAGGCAGCTGGGATTGTCGCATCTTGGCCATGGCTGAAGTGACACCTTCGCGAGCAGCCGGTTCTGCAAAGATACACGACAGCATAGCAAGCATCTGGGTATCTGCTAGGCGTTCGAAGTGGTCGAACAGTGATGGTATCAACCACGTGACGACAATGTGATGTCCCCATTTCACGCGAGCTTTGAGCTTAGGATTGGCCACGGGATCTGCCTCGTCGAATTGTAGGTCCAGCCCACTATCCTTGCGTTTGATTCTCCTAAGAGCTCTTCGGGCGAGTACAAGAACTTGGTCCCTCCGGTACTTTTGAGGTAATATTTCCAAGGGCACCTCATTACTCAATATCAGTTTGCAAAGGATCCAGATATCCGCGAGATCATCATAGCCGTACTTCCGAGCTACTTCAGAATTGTGCTCGCAAATCACTGGTCCAGGTCCAAAAATCTTATATTCCTCAGCGAGTTCACGTTTACTGGGTACCAGATCATCTGTGGCAGAAAATAGTATTGACACCGTCGACTTGGGCTTAGCCGCCTGCTTTCCTCCGCCAGTCGAAGAGGGTATTGAGTTTCGCGACTGGAAGCGGGATGCCGATTTTTGCCAAGCCAGCGGTGGCTGGAAGTTGCCTATATGTGAATTTCCTGCATGGTGGGAGTCGGACGAGGAAGATAGGGTGGAGGATGTTTCCCATGATCCAACGGAGGAGGATGGCGACGACGCGCCATCGGAGGCTCCCGGATGACGATTCGTAAAGCGGCCGAACGAATCGAAGATGTCATTCTTCGAAACACCCTGTCGGAGGTTCCTGGTAATTTGGAATCTGAAGGTATCTGCGCCAGGCATAGATTTTGCTACGGGTATCCTTGCGACTACAAGGGACCCATCTACCGAGAACCGTGCAGTACACTGAACCGGCAGCGGTATGTTGGCATTAGTATGGGATGACTGCATGACGTCATCAGTGAACTCGCCCTCTTGGTCTTCATCCTCACTAGAGCTTTCGCCAGGCAGTGGTCCAAGGTCTGCGAGAGCGTCATCATCTCCGGCTAGGTCTAGGCTGTCGTCCAAAGCCCGTTCACCCAACGCATACGAAAGGACTGCTTCCAGGCCCTCTCGCTGCTGGTCTGCGCAGGTTTCCGCAATACGGTGCATGTTGTTCGTCAATTCGTCTTGGGTTTCTTTGCTAATCGCCGCTGTCGTTCTCTCAAACTCAATGTGCAAAGGAGTCGATATCCTGCTAAGAACGGAGCCCGATTCTTCCCTTTTGATTGCCCTCGGGTAGGAAACTGGGAAGTTGATTGTGAAGCGAAGAAACACTAATCTGGGTTCGTTTGTGACTGCATCCCAATCACCCCATGGACCGCTGAAGGAGACCTTGATGCGTCGTCGGGGAATATCGATTTCTTCAAAAGCAAGCTTCTTGTACTTTTGGCCTACCAAAGCAATCTCTGCACCAAGGTCGTTCTGCTCCTGAAATGGCTGCTTCTTATTACGGTCATGATGGTTGGTGGGACCATGGTGGTCATTGATATCGTTGTGGCGGTCACTCCCGAATTTGATGCCATTAATCCACTTCATGTGATTGACTACACGTGGATCATGTCGCCGAATCGGGCGAGCCGTCATGGTTTCTCGTGGAATTGTCTCATGTTGAATCCGAGGATGTGTTCGGTCATGGTGGCGCGGAGCGTAAGCGTCTTCTTTCAGTGAGTAGTTCTGGAGGAGAGTGGAAAGGTTGCCTTTGCGTTGTCGGCGAGGTGGGCCGAACTCGTCCTGAGTGGTTGTGCTTGTGGTAGTAGGAATAGGCCCATCGCGATATGAAACATACGTTGCACCTTTTCGCGTCCTGCTGGGCTGTTCGACAAGTGGTTCGCCTTTACGGTGGCCGACCCACGCTTCCAAATCTTCCGAAGAAAGACGGTGAAGTATGAGTTGCCTGTCAGTGCCATAAGAAACCAACTGAAAGTCCCGGTTGTCGAACCCGTCCTCGGTAGAGCCACGCGTGCGCCAGAGGAACTCGCGAACTTGGGAATCAGGGGCGTGCTTGGGAAAGTTCGTAGCAGATGTATTGGTGAAGGTCGAAGGATCGCTACCATCAACGTGTTTGTACAGCCAAAGAGAGGAGTTGCCACGTTGCGGCATGGCGAGGATACCGTGTGGAAAGGGCGTGTGTCGCGCTCGCCACACAGGATAATCAGTGCGAATAACGCGGCGAGGAACAGTAATGTTGTCTTTTAAGCCTACGTTGTTCCAGAGTTTAATCGTCGCGTCGAGTGAGCAGGTCATGATCTTGTTCGCGTCGTTGCGATTCCAGTCAATGCCGTAAATCTTGGTCGTGTGCGCGGTGATGGTAGAAAGAGGATTGGCTCCATGACGAGTGTCCCAGATGTGAAGGTATTTGTCGTGAGCACTTGCGATAATCTTGTCGTTTTGGCGGTTCCACTTGACTTGGGTCGCTCCTGCGGTATAGTCGGCAAGCTTCAGCGGCGCCTTTTGGCTGCGAAGATCATGGACGAAGACGAAGCTGTCGACACCACACGTTGCCAAGAGGTCTGGATGATGTGCAGAGAAGTTGATGTCTGTTATAGCTCGGTCATGCGCGCGTAGTGTATACTCGATAGGCGCTTTGTTGTTGTTGTAAGGCATAGAGAGATTGTAC